CTCTTTATATGTTGACTACTTTTAGTTGGTTTTATTCATTGAAGCAAATATGAAAGATAAGGATACGGGAGATTTAATGGGGCTTACGATCACTATTTAGCTGTTGATTGGGTGGGCATAGGGTATGGGGACTGGAGGGTCAGTATTTGACCAACAAATAAAAATATTGGTCAACTATTTTATGTTCTTAAAACAATAATAGGATTTTACCACAAATACTTCAAACAGGATATACTTTAGCACTATTTGACACATATTTGAATATAAAATTCAAAAAATTATTAATAAAATAAAACTTTTAAATGTTTTTCGTGTAAATTTTATTAAAACAACACAATTTGTAATTAAAGTAGTTTTTATTACAATTTAGTTTAATATTTAATCACAATTTAAATAATTAATCATGAATTACAAGAGGTAGTGTAAATCAACATGTTAAAAGTGATTTACCATTTTAATAAATACTGTATAATGTACGCTGATTATGATTAATGTTAATTTAATCTATACTAATGAAAACATGTAATAAAAAGGTGTAATAAATATGAAAAAGTTATATAGTTTTGAAAATAATGAGACAATTTATTATATGATAAGTTTATAAATTCTATAATAATTATGTTTAGACAAAGTTTTCCATTCAAATTCACAGTTAGATATTTATAAATGTAATATTAAATATCGATAATATATTCTTATATTAATATTTCTGTTTTACAAATAACTTAATAATATTCCTCATAACTAACGGATTTGAAATAACAAATGACATGTAATGTACAAAAAGCCAAAAAACACAATTTGATGTAATAATCAGTATTTGAGACCATTGCGAAAGAAGGCTCTCTTTTTGCGTTTATTGGCGAGACATCGTCCCCACCACGACCTACGGCTACACACTTTCTCCGTACGGAACAGAAAGCATTTGGTCTGAACCACATTGAAGAACAGTTTGCCCACCAGATTGGCCGCACCCGTGTTGGCCAACTTCAGACACGAGCGAAACCTGCATTTGTGTCCCACAGATAATCATAGACAGAGAGAGACAGACAGACAGACAATCAGTTTAATTGAATTCAATAAATATGTCACAATAATCTCTCGATTTACTTATACTTTGATTCGTTAATTGATTCATAAATCTCTGTGCATTTGAGTCTAATATGCTGTGCAATGCATTAACTGAATTATAAAACATTACTCTCCATATACTTATGATATATAAAACTATTATCGCAATAATTTATATAATAAATATTAGTTGACTTTAATGTTGAAGATTTTTATCCAAACACAACTACAACAGAAAAAAGGATATTAAGCCCAGAATCGCTGACGAGAGAGAGAGCAATAATAGCATCAAATGATTGACACATAAGATAGTAGAAAGCATTTGGTCTGAACCACATTGAAGAACAGTTTGCCCACCAGATTGGCCGCACCCGTGTTGGCCAACTTCAGACACGAGCGAAACCTGCATTTGTGTCCCACAGATAATCATAGACAGAGAGACAGACAGACAGACAATCAGTTTAATTGAAGTCAATAAATATGTCACAATAATCTCTCGATTTACTTATACTTTGATTCGTTAATTGATTCATAAATCTCTGTGCATTTGAGTCTAATATGCTGTGCAATGCATTAACTGAACATTAAACATTAAGCATAAAACATTACTCTCCATATACTTATGATATATAAAACTATTATCGCAATAATTTATATAATAAATATTAGTTGACTTTAATGTTGAAGATTTTTATCCAAACACAACTACAACAGAAAAAAGGGATATTAAGCCCAGAATCGCTGACGAGAGATTATTGTGACATATTTATTGACTTCAATTAAACTGATTGTCTGTCTGTCTGTCTCTCTGTCTATGATTATCTGTGGGACACAAATGCAGGTTTCGCTCGTGTCTGAAGTTGGCCAACACGGGTGCGGCCAATCTGGTGGGCAAACTGTTCTTCAATGTGGTTCAGACCAAATGCTTTCTGTTCCGTACGGAGAAAGTGTGTAGCCGTAGGTCGTGGTGGGGACGATGTCTCGCCAATAAACGCAAAAAGAGAGCCTTCTTTCGCAATGGTCTCAAATACTGATTATTACATCAAATTGTGTTTTTTTGGCTTTTTGTACATTACATGTCATTTGTTATTTCAAATCCGTTAGTTATGAGGAATATTATTAAGTTATTTGTAAAACAGAAATATTAATATAAGAATATATTATCGATATTTAATATTACATTTATAAATATCTAACTGTGAATTTGAATGGAAAACTTTGTCTAAACATAATTATTATAGAATTTATAAACTTATCATATAATAAATTGTCTCATTATTTTCAAAACTATATAACTTTTTCATATTTATTACACCTTTTTATTACATGTTTTCATTAGCATAGATTAAATGAACATTAATCATAATCAGCGTA